TGTCGGGTGTTTCCTCTAAGAGATTCCTCTTCTTTCTCTCTAATCCACAAAAACTGTTGACTGCCTGTAGTGAAAACATAGAGAACCCTTGGCATGGATATTACAGGAGTCCAGGGAGATTCGAGATGACCAGCATTAAATAACATCCAGAAAGGAGGCCAAAGATCCTCAAGCTGCATAGCCGAGTCTAAACGCAAAATCAGTGGTTCTTCGGGAACATTGAGAGGGTACAAGCTAGTTACGGCGCCGTCGATTGCGTTGCAGTAAAGCTTTTCGGTCGACAATGTAGTTGTAAATAAAAGTCATGGGGAAGTTCTTCCCCTATAGGTTTTCAGTGATAAACAGATCTAACACTCAAAAAAATCTCGTTTGGCCTACACCATAACTAGGATGTTCCAATGCTTCATAACTATACGAGAAAATCGTTCTGGGGCAATTCATCGCGAGTATCACTAAGACTTCAATTGCAAATTAGTTGCGTCTGTCCCAGCTACACATTATTTTATCAACCCGCATAATCATCTACTTTAGGAAAAGTTCTTGGAACAAAGTATTCGTTTCTCTTTTTTCATTTCCATCAGTTGAGTTAACCTCATGTTTTCCTTTATGCGTCTCCTACTGTCCTATACATCATTTATCTCGTTTTCGCTTTTTTCCTAAATGCCAAGAAACCAGTGCCTATGCGTTGGCAGCTCGTCGTCACAGGTATTCGTCGATCGTTGTCAATCGGGGAGAGGTTTTCCATCATGCGACTATGTTCCTTCAAATACCGCAACTGTTATTGTCATTGTTTTACGCTTAAATGTAATTATCTATGAAAGTTCGAACTTTTTGAAAGTGAACGACCCAGCTTAGTGAGGAACTCTTGCAGAACGTTTCGCAGCTAAGGACACCCACCTCATCCAAACCATAGTAGGTATCAGAACATGTAGAGCACTTATGGGCAGAAATATGTTGCTCTTTTATAGATTCTTAAAACAACTTTTCTATAGGTGGTATTTTTAGATTTTTTTGGGTACCTTTTCTGGAGCATTTCTTAGCACTCATTTTGAAATCTCGTGTTGGCTGCTAACACTGTGGTCCGATCGCTGGATATTACAATCACGTATCTGTACTCTTTTTTCGTTCGTTTTTAATCTTATTGTCTAGCGATTTACGTTTCGAAGAGGGTTTCTCTGGTATGCGGAACAATAACGAAAGGCTTATGTGTACTTGGCTTGTGTACAGATTATGAGAACTAACTGCCGAATGTTTGTCGCAAGTGAAGTTAAGAGGATTGCGTCGCAAGTGGAAATGGCTGGATGATGGAATAAATTGTCAGCATTAACGAGATTATCTCTAAGAAAATTCTTCTGGAAATGATAATTTCATGGCAGGCTAATATAACTCCGCCTGTATTGAAAAGCCAGAGTGGCAATAGAACATGAGCAGGAAATAAGATGGGTAGAAGAAATAGTCTTCTGTAGATTTTTAAAAGAATTTTTTACATTTCCTAAATTTTTTTTATATGGCATGATGCTTGTAGCGCAGTCCTCATGAGCGCGCTGCAATACACATGGCTTCGATCCCTCGCCACAGGCTCACTTATCCTTCCATTCCTCCGAGCTAAGAGGATAGCAGCACTGACCCGATACATCGGTGGCCCACCACGAGCGATTGTATGGGCCAGATATACATTTAATCACCTCTAACGAGTCGAATGCATGGCGCATCCCTCAAGGATTGATCAACTCCGAGAGATCTTTTTAAATACTTTCTCAACAATTTTCACAGCACATTTATCGATGAGTAAAGTACGATCCGACTCCTGCAGAGCAGGTTGTCTTCATTGGTACAAATCGTCACCAATGAAGAAGCATGATGAATTCCAAGGTGGGTGGTACCAATCGAGCGATGTTTTTTCGAATGAATTCGACTCGATGCGATTACTGAAACCCATCTTAACAATCAGCTGCTGTGGGCAACCGACTTGAATAATTGTACTCCGAAGAAAGTGATGTCGTCGGAACGCTGGGTGGAATAAGAATAACCTTGCAACCCCATCTTACCTTGTTAGTATGCGTAAGCGAGAATCCTTGCGTCGTTTAAGTGAAAGTCGGCACTGAAGATAGTGATAATTCAATTCTCCGGTGGAGTTTGAATTGAAGATCTTCCGTATCTGTTTCCGCACCTCGTCGAAGCATCGATGCTACGAAGCAAAAAGCAACCCTATGAAGCAATCTCTTCACAGTATTCTGAGTAGAATTCAATACACTTCAATCACTACTGAGGAATAAACTTCTTAAAGTTGTCAACGAATGCGCGTGCTACCCGCCTATATCGTTTTCCATCAGCACTCACCCGATTGTATCGGCGACATCACTAACGTTGGGCACAGTCCATCTGTGCAAGTCGTCCGAAGTCATGTTCTCTTCACTAAATTCTCCAACATCTGCATCCTACTGAAGAATATTCATGAGGGTACAGAGAATATATCCACAGTGCTCAGGTATGACCAAATGAAATCATTGTAAAGGTTTTTTATTTGCGAAGTCATTCGTCGTCGGTGCTTAAAGAGTTCATTGATTTAATGGAAATTTCCTGTAAAACGTCCATGTGACCTTTGGTTGTTGTTCCGAATTTTAAACCAGTGTAATACGCGGTGTCTGTATCTTTTGACCTTTCCTAAATTATGCATGAACCTCCTGTTATTCATTTTCCTCATCCAGTTAAACAGTTTTTTTCGTCTCATTTAACTCCAGCTGTCTATTTAAACGATGATAAAGGGTACGAGTTTCCCTTTATCTGTTTATCTCAGAGGCAGTTTTCGGCCATGGGGATCGCCGAATGGTGTTGATTGGTGACTTTACTTTTCAGTTGAGTACTTCGGTGTGTCTTTGTCTACGAGCCCTGAGTTCAGTAACGTGTTAAATTTCCCTTAACTAGAAAGGCATTAATCTATACGTCAATCCACTAAAGGGTGTATCCGTTCTAATGACGCTATTTCAGAAATTTCCATGTATACTTAATTTCATCAAGACGGCTATATCTACGATAACGTGACAGTGAATAAAGTGGTGCTGCGCTAACGTGGAGTCCTGAGTGCAAAAAAAAGGCTAGAATATGTTGTTGTGAAGAGCTGAGATCCAGGATTCCATGAAGAGAAATCACCACTAAAATTCACCAGCATTCATAAAGAAGACCAAGAGGTTCTCAAGCAGCAGACGAACCTATACGTAAAACTCCGAAGACCATCACGGATGATGGATCCGAGAAAGCCAATCGGACCAAAAGATTGATACGACCAGAACATTTAGATCAGAACCTAGCTTGCTGAAATGCGATGTCCAATGATGAACCTATCCTACTGTAGTAGGAGCTTCCAATATGGGAATTTCGGCAAACCTTTCCATATTGTCACTGTGATAAACTTGTGCCAAATTTTTTAGCAACAGATTTACGGAGAATCACATTCTATTATCGTGTAAGTCAACGGTTCCTTATTTTTGACGTAGGTTGGCGTATAACAGTTAATGTCAAAGCATCGTCAGGTGAGGTGACAGAATCCTCACTTGAGTCATGTGACTTGATGGGCGATGGAAATGGGCGATAGTAGCGATGCATTCGATGTAACCGACATTTTGTGATGATGCTTTCCCTCGGGAGCTAGTAGGAAAAGGTATACAGTGAAGTGAGGTGAACTATGTGGCGTAACCGAAACAAGCGGGGTAAGGTTTTTGTCAACGTCGTTTCAGCTTAGCAATAAAGGGAGACATATCTAGAGTTTAAGACGTTGTTCATAGTTGCACGACAAAAAATATTCGCACACCACTGATAGTTGATCGTTAATTTTATTACATTTTAATATGCTTTATTGGAACAAAAAATTTTGCACATTTTCGCAATATCGTGGTCATTCTATGTGAGCGAGTGGTCTCATGCTCTTAAGCGGTGAATAACTGAAAGAGAACTGTGAATTGGCGAGGCCGTCGAGACTTTCGCCATTGAGAACTGAACAAGACACTTTGAAAACGTCGCGTTTGTTAACTCGCCAAGGACAGTTCTTAAGAACACGAAAACTTTTCAAGTAATATCTGTGTCGACTGAAAGGGAATTCTTAGAAAACTTTCTTTTTTCTTACTTTGTTTGACTAAATATCTCCTCCGAAAGAAGTCTTGGATGTTAAAGCAATCTTAATTTGTAGCTTCCTGCCTTATTCTTATGGAACTACGCGTTGGAGCATTCCGTAGGGAGAATATAAGTCCTTATATGATTTATTTTGGCTAATTTGAACGTTACCGTAGTACTAAACGTGTAAGACTGAACAAATGTGTCATATTGGTGAGCAACACCTATTAAAAGGATAAAGCTCTTCCCGTTGATCAATACACTTGATACTTGATACTTGAATAGCCCGTCCTCACTGGTTGTGCGGGCCCCAGCATAATCTCCATTTTTCGGAAATTTGCTGGTTAAGCCATTATGTTTACCTGGAGTCCCGAGGTCAGCCTGGTCAAAGTCTGCCCCAGGTCTTCATCACCACAGGCAGTGGCAACCCTTGTGGATCAGAGGGAGCTTTGCCACCATACGACTTTGATACCAGGAGCATGGTAGACCCTGGTATTGTCTTACTCTTAGCTGGGTCTCTTGATAAAAACGCTAGACTCATTCTCAGCTTAAGAGACCTTGCCAGGGGATGAATCTCCCGCTGTGCATTGCAGTCTGACGCCAAGGAACACCTCCCAGCCACGAAAAAGAAGCGAAAAGCGAACAAATAAGCAATATTCTTGTCAAAAGCGAATGTTTCAGTTTACCTGGAAAAATTCTCTGAAAGATGACTGTACTAATGCTTAAATAGGATTTTTTAGCTAGCCTTATGTTTTTACAGCACTATAATTAGTACTAGAGCTTGATAGATTCTCAAATATGCTTTTCATTGTTAAAAATTTTGCCATGTGGTAAGGAATACCGACTCACACCATCTATCCTTTGCTCATTAGTCTTCATTTGCAGGGCTTGCGATGAGACCATCGTTTAGTACTCCTCAACTAGTCACACCGAATGGAGAGCTCCTTCATCCTGACGGACCAGCACATGAGAAGTATGTTTCTGCCCTGTTCTTCTTCCTTTCCGTTCTTTTTGCTCTATCTTTTCTTTCCTTCTCTACTTATTTATTTTTGCTTTTTCTACATTTCAGTCTCTCACTGAACATGTGCCAGATTTAATATGCACTTTAAACTTCGACGTCATGCTTCAGAAAGTCGAATAGTGGACGTAACAGCGATTCAATCAGTGTTAAGAGGGCGTTGAGCGCTGAAAGCTCGTTTATTAGTGACGGCTACTGGACGCCGAGGGAAACGCTGAACAAATGTACGTTGCCGTATTGATGCTAAGCCAATGCATAAAGGACGATAGTAAAAGGAGAACTCACACCCGAATTCGGAGACTCGCCATTAGTTTCATTCTTCTCGTTAGCCCATAATCATTAATTTATTGAAACGTAGTAGTAGGCTTCTTGGAGGTACCGTGCAATGCACAAATATTCCTTCGTTCAATCCTCGGGATGAACTCCTCGTGACACAAGCCACGCCTTCATGCCTACTGAGATTCAGCAGTTTGGTACCATGCTTACCTGCAACAGTGGCAACACTGCTTTGATATATTGGTAGGTACTCAAGAAATGTTGGGTAGGCCATTTCTGCATTTGATCACCTCAATGAAGACCCTTAAGATAATCGAATGCACGGTGCATCTCAAAGGGTTGAACCAACAACGAACGCTGCATTTTTTATTTGCTGCCTATTAAAGCTTTTTCACGGCAGGGTATTATGTCAAATACAACCGTAATGTTGAGATATTTGTAAAACTCTGGACCGTAGGTGCATGCGATGGGGAACGAACGCGCTATCACCCTTTCCGGGGGCTAATGCGTGCACCACTACATTATGTGGGTCCTTCGTCTCGTAGTTGGGTTGAAAAAAAAAGACTGGCAATCAGGCATTTTTCTCGTCTCGGCGCTAATAAAATTAAACAATGGGACAAAAAAATTTAAACGAATTCCGTCCGGCACTGAAAACAATATTGTTGTTAATTCGATGTTTTTCTTCAATAAGCAGACACGAGATTGTTATTATAGAATTTATTAGGATACAATAGCTGACGTTTCGGCTTCTTCAAAGCCTGGAAAGGTCAAATTGAGATGCGATCTACTCAGCCAAACACTTTCATAACCCTAGCAGATAAAACTTAACAAATAAACTTGTATTCACATAAGAAACACCTTCATCTAAACACCTACCGTTTATCCGTTTATTCGTTGTAAGTATTTATGTATTTTATTCATAGTATTTTATGCGAATGAAACCTATTTGTTAGGTTTTATCAACTGGGGTTATGAAAGTGTTTGGCTGAGAAGATTGCATCTCAATCTGACCTTTCCAAGTTTGAAGAAGCCGAAACGTCAGCTATTGTATCCTAATAAATCCTATAATAACAACCTCGTGTCTGCTTAATGAAGAAAAACATCGAATTATCAATCAATGCCGAGGTTAACAGAAAGTCAGTTTTGGAAATATTGTTGTTGATTGTTTGTACGATTCACGCATTCAGATCACTTCGTGCGTCGCCATCATGCCACCACCGCTAGCGCGGAAGAACTGAGCGTTGACCAACCATCGAAGGAATGTGAGTTATCAACAGATAAGAGTTTTAGAAAAAGACACTGAATGACTAAGAATCTTTTCGTAGACAGATTGAAAGACGAGCTGCATAAGAGCGTTCTTTCTTCAGAGACGGACGCCCGGTTATCTAGGCAATTAACTGTTGTCGCCGTCTTGGCTTTTGTTTTCTGCTGGGTTAGCTGGAGATTAAAGGAACTGTGTTGTTTCTTTGTCCACCGCAACGGTGTTGGCTTTTGATTGGAACCAGCGCCATGGAAGGTGGTCGTTCTTTCCCTACCGTACTCATCAGGTTCTTTGAAATGACTCGATTGCCGTAAAAGGTGTTGTTAAATGTACTTTCCTGATCAGATTCCCTAGCGCAGTCGGAAAAATATGAGTGCTTTTGTCATGAAGAAAAATATTGCAGGTAGTTTTATGCTTTAGCTAAAGTTCACGCAACAGATGACGTGGTAAGTACAATGACCAGGTGTCGATCACAAAAGTCCCACTTTCTCTACATTTTTTGGACTCAACCTCACATCATACGAACTCTTTGTTTGGTTTATGCAACTTCTAATGCACATGGCATTCAACGAACATTTCCAATAGTCGGATTCAGTCAGGATCAGTGTAATTGTAGTTGAGGCTGTCGACGCTTCTTCAATGGATATCGAAGCCAAACGAAAAGCGAAACACAAAAACACGTCGCCGTTTTGCTAAGAAAAGCTCCGTCGTCCGCTTGTAGGAGGATAACTGCTCTATTTCAACATCTACACATCTCTACTGCAATAGAATAGAATGAGAAAAATTGATTCATTTGGAATCCTGCTTTCTGTTTCTTTCTCTAATGTGCACTTGTTTTAACGAGCCATAAAAATCCTATTCATGCATAACGCCTGAATGCATTGAGTGTGACAGATTCGATGAGAAAGCCATAGTCTTATTTAACTTAAAATCAACAAATTTCAACTCACATCGAGTTTATTAATTGAAATAAAGACCACTGACTTGTTGCTTACGCGATTCAAGTCTCTTTATTTTACATGAACCAAGTTTTGGCTTTCTAGGCTCGAAGCGCATTTCTTTCACTTTTGCATCAGATCCTCCATTTAAGGAAGGAAGCAGTTTAGTTCTTAGCAAATTTAGCTTTCTAAAAATACTTCCTAAGGATTACATATTTGTTTATGCGATAGGGCAGTCTCTTTCATAAATATCCGAAGATCTCAGCGCCTCAAATTCTTTAGTTATCGAGAAATGATCGTCAGCTGTCGAAAAACCAGCTCCGGACATGAGGGCTTGTGTTTTTCGATCCAGATAAATTCCCTTGGTTTCCTTCTTAAGTAGCCATGCAGTTTGTATTTTTCGTGGGAACAGTTTCATTTTGAGCACAATTGCACAATGGATATGTGCCATCTACGAGGACCTTTCGATGTCAACGCTTTCTTGTTCAGCATCGATGGCCAGTCGAATACGATTCTTATCACCACCTAAGAAATCGCCACGATCAATGCAACTGCCAGAAAACGACTGTAATGACGTCAAATTCGACTATTTTGATGTGATGAAGATGCAGTTAACAAGGATGAGTGAAGACATTAAAAGTAAGTTGCTAAAAGTCTTCAATAAGCTGGATTCAAAAGGAATAAAGTGTGGCAATCAATAATTATTCGAAACAGTAAATTCGTTTCAATTTCTAGTTCTCATTATGCGTTCTAGCAGAGTTAAACTTGTAGCACAGAATTTGTTTTGCGGCTAAGGTGAAAATCTATGAAATAGCTGAGAGACAGCCGAAACGAAGCACCCGCATGTTGTGGTGGTGGTCGCTTTAGCCCTCGGAAAGGGTAATAGCGCACTCGTTCCCCACCGCAGGCACCTGCGGTCTGGAGTTTTGCAAATATCTCAGCTGTTGAAATGTTCAGTTCAGCTGAAATGAAAAAAGGAATGCTGTTGAAATTCACAGTAGTTACACAATATCAAACACTGCTGTTCGATCGGAATTCGTAGGACTCCAGCTTCTCTAACTCATTTGCTATAGAAGGTTCCGATAAAGATCTATTCTCTCTTCGATCTATGAGTTGAGACTGGACGCAATTCCGCTCAAAGCCATGCTGGAAATCTGGACACAAGGTTACAATCCACGTACCTCAGTCCGATTCACAAGGGCACATGCACTTAGTGGCGCCAACGTAAGAATGCCATCATCCGGTACAAAGATGTGTCCTAGACGTCCTCTATCCTTGTTAAAGAAGATTCAGTAGTAGTTCTAAAATTACAAACGGATTGCTTAAAAGGGCGGACAATCTGAAACTTGATGTTGATCAGAACACATCCAACGTTTTTGCTAATAAATATCAGCTGCAATTGATTCGCTCTGGAAAACCTGAAGGGACATAGGAGAAAAACTGCTAGACGTAGCTCAGAAAATAGTCATTTTGGACAACTGCAGGAGAGATCTTCGTGAATATAGCGTTCTACGAATGAAGTGAGATTTCTGCAAGAAGTCTATTCTAAGAACCACGCTAAAACTGATACTGCTGTAATGAAGCTTGTTATGTGAACCACGTGCCAATTGTCCTAACCTTTATAGATGACGAGGAATCGTTGGGAAGTTAACAGTAGCATAAGCAAATCCTGTACAAGAACTATAATAGACTATTATCGTGACTCTACCACGATAATGTAGGTTTATCGCCACCACTTACCATCCTATACGCAGACGGGAGAGACAAGGCGACACCATCTTACTGAAATAAACCGTAGCAGAACTTGCAGTAAATGCAAAGGTTCAATAGAGAGCGAGTTGAAATAGCTGATCCGTTAAGCGCTTCAGGCATGTTGGAAAAGCCCAAAAGATCAACTGACGGTTCCGGAATTCCGCGCTCAACTTTGCCGTTCAGCGATCCTCCCGTGATTTTACAATGCAGATGGCCGCCACTCCAAGAATGTCTAGAATTTTAAACCCGTCCACAGAGCGCCTGATGGTTTGAGAACAAAATATACTTAACCACACCATGTGATGCTCGATCACGCAGTTTAGACCTTTGAAATTTATCTCGAATTCGAGATAGAAGGGAATACACATCGAAGGCGAAACAGGTAGGGCAGACCGCTCATGTTAGGGTAATAGGTGACGAAAAGGACAACAGAGAATGTACTTCTAGAGGTTGTCATCGTTTCATCGGGGAACATGTACAATATGGACGGATGTGTTTGTTGCTCTCGTCAACTAGCTATCGGATCTATTGTAAACAATCCATCGATCATAGAATGAAGCTAGTAGACGCGGATCCGAATATCAATATTGCAGAGCATGTCGAAAGCACAAACTGCATTTTTTGGTCTTCAATAGTTGTTGCGATTAAATTTGCTCCTATATTTTTGATTGCCTGCCCATGTTGTGTATTTACCAGCCTTATCAGACTTAGAGGATTTTTGAAGTCAGGATTTTATGCTTTTACTGGCAGTACTTTTATCGTTACGTACACATGGCTAACCTACTGTAGTTCACCTCATGAGTTCTTAGGGAGTTCGTCAACATTTGAAGACTTCCTGTAGGTGTTATTTATTATAATCTACTCTATTCTGATACGGTAATCGGTCGTTTGAGTACGGACTCTAGGTGATCCATACTATGGAGTACAAATTGTATAATTCTGCACATTCTCATATGTACTGTATGGAACAGCGGTACAGCACTGGAGTATATAGTCCCTCGATAGAGTCCTACCACACTACAGAGCAAGAACGCAGCTGCAATTTATCATGTCTGATCCATACATCATCTGAAATCATTCCAAGGATAGTCTCAAAAACAATCCCAGCTGTGCACTGTGCAGCAGATCTGTGAAATTGAGAAATGTATTTTGAGAAAGAAGTCCCATAGTGCCAATTATCTACTCAGAGAAGACTATAACGGATGACATAACATCTGAGATTCATATGCATGCCATCCATGAGGGGAGAGTTGAAAAGTGGGCGAAATGCATTTCCTTTCATTGATTAAATTTACTAATAGAGGTTTTTCAGCCGAAATTTTCGTATTCATTCAATAGCTTGTTCAACCCAGATGTTATGCCCTTAGTGCCTTATGGAAACTATTCTCTACACTTAATAATTTGCAAAAAAACTCTTCCTCACTACTTAATTCACCGGTGACCTAACTTAACTTTATTTCAATTCCGACCGGTATTGTGAATCGTGGTCGTCCTGCGAAATAAGCAGGCATAAACAATGTAGAAATAACCTCGAGATAAGCTGCGAAACATTTCTATATGCTGTCAGGAATTTGTTTGTGGGATAAAGAATAAAGGATAGAGCTCTCGGCGCCGATCAATCCTTGAGGGATGTGCCATGCGTTCGACTTCACTGAATATCGTTTGGAGGCGATTGAATGCATATCTGGCCTTTACAATGACTCGCGGTGGCCTACCGATGTATGCTGCTATCCTCCCAGAGAAGTCTGGTACCAATTTGCCGACCCCGGAGGGATGGAGAGCTTTGTGGGCCACTGGTGCGGGGATCGATTCCACGTGTATGTCGCAGTGGCGCCTCCAACCACTGCGCCACACGCATCCCGTTTGTGGGATGGGCCACAGAAATATGTAGTAAGTGGCACAGTACATGCCAGTCATACCTATAGAGGAGTACAATAAAAGCTCCTATATAACTCTGTGATGCTTTCAATCAGTCAGGTTCTTCAGATATCAAGAAATTACTATTTACTGTCGATAAACTAGCAAGTCCGTAGCCGCCACGAAATCAGACGTCGTCCTACGCGACTGCGTGTCAAACTGGAGCGTCAAGCGTAATGTGTTAGCTAAGACCTTTACGCTTCTGCAGATCAGTACTGCAAGTCCTGTCGAAATTGCTAACCAACATTTTTTTTGCAAAAAACTGTGTGATCATGATGAATAATTGCCTGTATTTGGTGGAATCCAACTTTTCAGTTTCATTTCATCAGTTACTAATCAAGAAACCTTTGTAGCGGTAATGCCTTTCATCTCAACAAGTCATTCTATGCGACTGCGGGGTATACTCAAGTGCTCAATACTACGCAGTGTCTTACAAATCCGGTTATTTCTCACCTAGACAGGGTCATTTTTTGTGGTCATAAGGTCAACAAAGGTCATTACTAGCCACAGCTTAAGCTTTGATTAGCAGACTAGTGCAAGGAGTCTGGTCATGTAGTGAAAACTGCCAGCACAAAAATGCATATCGAACCAATTGTCGTCAAATCAGTCCAATTCAATCAGTATCCATGGAATCGCCACCGCTGCTACTCAAGCCAATCTAGTCGATATCCATGGGACTGCCAGCGCCGTTATTCAGGCCAATTCAATCGATATCCAGAGATCGCCAACGCTGCTGCCCAAGCCGAGCCAATCGATATTCATGGGATCGATGCGAGCGCGGCCATTGCCGCCGGCGCCGTCTGTAAGCGCGCCCGCTTTTCTTTGTGAATGCGAGTGTCACGTGGCAAACGGTGCATCAGTGGTGTTTCTTTTTTTCTTCTTTCTTTTTCTTTCTTTTCTTCTTTTTTGTTTCTCTTTTTCGTTTTCTTTTTCTTTTCTCTTTCCCTTTTTGATCTCTTTCTTGTTTCTTTTTCATAGTTTTCCCCACTTACAATTCCGGTCCGGTATTCTTTTTCGGTACTGACAAGCTCTTGCTTCTCTTTCTGCGCAGTTTTCCTCGCACATTTTTTCCTTGGTTTTTTCGTTCGTTTTTACTTCCAAGTCTCTCTCGCTCCAGTACTTTTTATTGCGGGGGAAAGTACTGTCGAACTGCGAAAGGGAATTAGTGTACAGTTGCGAAATGGAGATTTTTTGAAGTTCAACTACAAGATATCCTTCAGTTTGAAGTATCTTCATTTCATTCATACATCCAATCTGTCGCTCTTTTTTGGTCGCTATCACTAATAAGAGGTCCGTGTAGCGCAGTGGTCGGAGGCACCCTCCTGCAATACACATGGGATCGATCCCTGTACCGCAAGCTCACCAGGCCTTCCATCCTTTCGGAGTCAGCAGATTCAACATTTCAGATTCAACACAACATGTGCGTTTAGCACTGTTTCTTTCAAAATGTTAGGAATCCTCAGCGTTTATTATAACAATCCCTCACCGATATTGTAAACAACATCGTACCCAAAACATTTTGTTTTTTCTACACTGCACAGCTTTACAGTAGACATTAATCACGTGGAATTAGCGTTTAATTTATGCTTAATCTATAGGTTATATTGAATTGACCTTCCAATGATCATTATAGATATAATCTAAGCAGAAATATAACTTAAATGATGCTGAGATATTTGCAAAACTCCGGAACGCAGGTGTATTGCGGCGGGGAACGAACGCGCTATTGTTCTTTCCGGGGAGTAGCGCGTTCACCACCACACCACGCGGGTCCTTCGTTTCGCCTGCCTCTCAACTAGTTCTATCGATTTTTGCCATCAGCGATCACCCGTCAGCGGGATTGAGCGGGATAACTTATTATTTACTGCCTACTCTTTTTAACTACAGTGTATACATTGTGAAATATAACTAAGCGTTAAGAAAATATAACTTCAAAATAAAGCAGAAACGTTTCTTACATTAGTCACACCTACTGCCACTTTGCTCAGCATGTAGATGCTTTGCAGCAGATCTGAAGTCGTGGTATTTTATCAATTTCTTGTACTGGTCAACACAACGTCTCCATTCCAGTTATGACATTGGCCCGCTCTTTCCAAGCACATTTCTAGTCGACGCTGCAGGAACACTGTTATCTTGAAAATATCTCTGGTTCATTTACGCCATAAAGTCATTCATCCGAATGCTCTGCGCCTTGTCGCATCAGATCCGTCATTCGTTCACCGAACACGCTTAGGTGACCAAGTGGAAGAACAGTCATGTACACCTTCACTATGGATAGAAATAGGTGTCCTGAAGTCAAGAAGAAACGAAAATGTACGGACCATTTAATGTGGAGAGTGGACCACCATTTGCATACTTTTGCGTCCAAATGTGGCTTCTTCTTGTTGTCATCCTCTGATTGATTTCCTTTCTTGTGCTTATAGTCGTTATCCTGGCTCTCCGATTTACTTCGTCCAGCTTTTTTGACAAGGACATCAGAGATTTTTTAGCACTTTCAGCTTCTTTCCATTCACTGATGATGCTGATGAAGATTCCATTGAAATGGAATTGAATAGGTCTTCTGCCATTATTATTCAAGCGTGTACGAATCAAATTTATCCGGTCACTGATTGTTCATTTCTCTTCAATTGTTGTTGTCGATCGCAGCGATCGTGTGGAAACTGCAGTTATAAAAACATTAAAATCGAAACAGGCTAGAAATATCATGCGAACCGTTACCAAAAGCCGATGGCATCGTGTTTAGATAATCTTAACCCTTTTATTTACCACCTTTTTCTTTTTAATGGCAGGGTATGTTGCGAAATATAACTCGTATATAATGCTGAGATATTTGCAAAACTCCGGACCGCAGGTGTATGCGGTGGAGAACGAACGCGCTATTGTCCTTACCGGGGAGTAGCGCACTTCACCACCACACCATCCGGGACAATAGCGCGCTCGTTCCCCACCGCATACACCTGCGGTCCGGAGTTTTGCAAATGTCTCAGCATTATATACGTGTTTAGATAGTTTTTTCATCATAAACAAGCGTCGAATATCTTCAGAAAATATGGAACGATACGTAGGAGATTATAGAAGATACGTAGAGCTTAAAAAGCCACGGAAAGTAGAAGGAATAACCGAATTGTATAGAAAAAACGCAAAAGAAAGTGGACGCGTTAATTTTTGGAGTGGCGGTGTGGTCGGGTTGCATGGCCTTCAGTGCTCATTGCTAGCGGGGAAAAATGGGGCGCTCAGCGTGAATGGGTTATTCGTTTATTTTTTTTTAACATATTAGGCATTTGATGTGGCCGTCAAATACTGGCGGAATCGTTTGTATTCAAGTCAAAATCTTTGCTTATTTTCCAATTTATGACTTATGGTTTAGGAGATGATGATTTTTAGGCTTATTATCTACCTCGGTTACGTCTAGCACAATGATTAAAGGTGCCCTTCCAATACACACGATAGTTCAATTCTGTGCTCCGAACTCACCAAGCTTCCCATTCCTCTGGAATGCTGGGATGGGAATATTAGAACCAGATCAATGGATAGAAGCACTCACTTTATACATCGGAAAGCCACAGCTACTCATTGTACAGCCTAGATATGTATGCAATCACCTCTGCAATTCTTGATGAGGTCGAATGCATGGTGTATCCAGAGATGGGGAAAAATTTCTTGCAATTTTCTGTACCATAACGATAGGCATCTCGGCCGTTCACGGAGTACGAAGCCAATGTAGTCTTATTTGGTTTAGTCAACGAAATACTTTACAGCTAGCGCAGACCACACTGCAAGGCAGAGGTTGTTAAAGCAGCGATAACTATGTAGAGCTGTTTATCATCATGTCGTAGTAACTAAAACATTGCTGCTTAAGATTATGAATGCGTCAGATTTTCCTTCCTTTTTTCTAGCCTTATTTTTGATGACTACATTGCGATATTACCGACTGCTGTCAGTGAATAGAAACAGTGTCCATAGAAAAGAAAAAAGCAGAGGAAGTTTGCTCGCTGTTATAATTGAAAAAAAACATGCTTCATGAAAAATACCTAGTGCGAACAATAGCGACTACCTACGGATGGGTCACCCTGTGAAGCTCACAGCGTTTGTATACCTTACGTGCTCTGTCAAAATGTTCTGACGTTAGCAAAATAAAAACAAAGGCAGCAGATATCATATCCTGTCTCTCGGGAAAGCTGCCAACTAACACACTATGATCCATGTGTCACACTCTAACCGATTCAATGCCATGCCACAACGAAGGCCTGCGTCCCAGCATATAACTGTCATAGACACTCCACTGAAAAACCGCGGCTTTGAAGATGAAGAAACGTTAGGTTTTGGGCTCTGAAGAAAGCGAAAGTGCCGAAACCTCAGCTACTGTCGTATTGTATTGTGTTTTCCTATAGAAGTAAATGTATGCTGTATAACAACGCGATTGTTGAACAAGAAAACGACGCATTCATATTCCAATGCCGAGGTTAATAGAAAGTCGATCCTGGGAACCATTAGCTTTTGGTTCGATTTTCAAGAATCTCATGTATGCCTGTCAATAAACCAAAACACATTATCCATCCCCATAGTAAACAAAATTGGCGATTGAAAATATTACTACGTCATGTATCAACCGATATTGATCCAACTCCTACAGGATGGATTGCCATCATGAAAAGAAATAATTTTAGATAGGAGTCGCCCACCGACCGTCCTGTATCCCACGGAATTTCAGGGTGAAATCCTGGGTTCACTTGATTCCAAGAGAAGGGGCAGTTCTATGTAAAAGGGCAGTGCTGGTCGATCGAACTTCTTCCGTACTATTTAACTCGATTCCGCTCGACGCGATTATGAGGATCCACATAGCAAGAAACACTTGCCTGAACACGGCTTGAATCACCGTGGCCTTGAAGAAGATGAAGGCGCAAGGAAGTTATCCACAAGAAGATTGGTGGTAACCTTGTGTATGGTCGAAGAAATCATAACAATAAATAATAACAGCAATAAACCAAAACATCTTAGGAGGTCTTCAGAATTCTTCAGAACATCTGTTCGGCGCAGTGTAGAAGAAAAACCAGTTGGCTGAGAAAATAGGTCTGACGAATCAATTTTGAAATAGCGAAGCCCCTACATTGAAAAATAGACGAGATTGGTGGTTGTCATTTCCATATTTAGAACTCGAAGCACTGATATAGGGTTTATGGGTTCGACAACCTCTAGGACTAGTCAATGAATTTCTGCATGATTGAGCTGGCACGAGGTCGGTATAAAATTTCGGTTCGGCTAACGTTTCGACGCCTTCGCCTTTAGAGCCGCGTTGATACGATTTGGTGGTCCCAAGGTGGTCGTTGTTGCATCGAATCGAATTCGGTAAAGGATGCACCGTTCGAATAAAATAGCTTAGTCATGTAAAAGATTGCTGTGTCACAGTTGCGAAAGTTCAACCAATGCGGCAGAGTACTAGCCCTATGGTTACTTTGGTAACGATTCAGTTAGTTGGATGCTCATCAATGTGCGCTATATGCTAAAGGGATTAAAAAAGGATAAAGCTCTCGGCGTTGGTCAATCCTTGAGGGATGTACCATGCATTCGACTTCATTAAATATCGTTTGGAGGTGATTAAATGCATATCTGACCTTACAATGACGCGTGGTGGCTTGCCGATGTATCGAGGCAGTGCTGCTATCCTCCAAGACAAGTCTGGTATCAGTTTGCCGGCTCGAAAGGGTGGAAGGTTTGGTGGGCCATGGGCGTGGGGATCGATTCCACGTGTGTGTTGCAGGCTCCCTCCAACCACTACGCCACACGCACCCCCATGCTCTATATTAGTTTCTGAAAACTGAAATGTAAAC